GGGAAAGAGAGAGGGATTCTTTTTCCTTGTGTCCCCCCCTCTTTTTTTTTTTTTTTCTTTTTTTTTCTTTTTTTTCCAGAATAGATATAGCACGAATTTTTAATTCGTCTTCCTTTCACAGACAACAATGCTGGTTTTGAAAGCTGGGCACAATTTGGGTTTTGTGAGGGGGTCCCCCCGGCCCAGCTGGCCATATGGGATACAACATGTAGAACATGCCTAACAATGAGCACGAGTGACAGCCCTAACAAAACGCAAAGGACACTGCTCCCTGACTCCGGGATGGACTGCCTCCCATAAATGAATGGAATGGCCCTAAAAAGAGAGGGGTTAGGGGGGGAGAAAGACTGGAGGGAAGGCACAGAGAGGGCCCCCACCTCCCCAAACTTTCTCTCGTTTGTTGTTTTTTTTCGTTGTTGGTTTTTTTTTTCTTCCTCCCCCCCCCCCCTCCTTTCCCGGCCCGGCCCAGCCCCTGGCTGCCTTTGCCTCCGTCTGTTTAATATGCACGCCTCTAACATGCTCACCTCCCTGCCTCCCCCATTGTGCTGTTTTGTGAAGTCTACTGTATATTGTGCAAAGATAGACTGCCCGGAGCTGGCTCGGCAGCATGGGAGATATAAGGCCACGGAGGTTAGGGCCACACAACTGGTTTTATAGACTTAGCACGGCCTGGGGGAGAAAAAGGGGTAAAAAAAAAGAAAAAAGTCTCAGTTTTCCTACCCACTCCCTCCTGACTGGGTTCGGAAAGGGAGAATCAGCAGTTGTCCTTGTAACCCTGTAGCTGGGGCGCGGGTGCGGGGTCCCTGCGGAGCCTCCCCGGGCTGGAGAGCCGGGTCCCCGGCTTGCTCGGTGGGTTCCGCTCCGGTGACCCCCCAGGGGATGCTCCGCCGGCCGCCGCCGCCGTCCCCGCGGCGAAGCCGAGCAGACACGTCCCCGGCCTCGGGTGCTTCGAGTCAGGGCTCGCCCGGAGGGGCAAGGAGAAACGAAAAAAATAGGAGGGCGAGAAAAAAAAAATAACAACAGGAAAAGGAGGGGGAAAAACCCAAACAAAAAAAACAGCTCGAATGTTGCTCGGGTCTTTGGGGCCGGTACCAACAGTCTCCTAGCAGGACGGGGCGGGGGCTGCCCCGGCCCCAGAACACAGCACAAGCCCTTTTTCTTTTTAGTTAGTTAGTTTGTTTATTTGTTTTTACCATCCTAAAACGGCAGGAGAGGGCGAGGTGGACACAGAACTGCCCCGGCTCTGCCCAAACCCGTTCCGAGCCGGGGGCTGCGCCCGCCCGACACCGACCACAACTTCTCCCCGGGCAGGGCTTGCTTCCCGTTTCGCCCAGAGCAGCCCAACATCTCTCTTCTCCCTCTCCCGTTATTTATTTGGGGGATGTAAACCCTTTCCTGAGCCGCCGGCTCATCCCCGAAGGCTGAACCCGAAATTTTCGCGCTCCCCCTCCATGCAAATGGTCTCCAGCCCGGACAGCGGGGGATTTCGGTGCTGCTGGTGCCCGAAACTCCGCAGGACCCCAGCTGTGCGGGGGCGGGAATCAAAGCACAATCACAGATATAAAATAATTCTCCTCCCCTTCGTTTTTTTCGCCAGCGCCCGGTGTGGCGGTTGAGCC